GATTGGTTGCTGTGCACAGCTGCTACAGTTTTGACAAATTCCCCCCAAGGAGTTCTGAAAAAGAAACACTAAAAGACATGGCTAACAAGTACTATATACTTCTGATAACGAGAAGCTATATCGTACTGGACTCTCATCAAGGAAATTAACTGAGAATCAGCTCAGACCAGGAAGAGAACCTTCAAAGCACAAAACAAAATTGTACATGTTCACAAAACTCCCAGAAAAATAAATATGAAGTACAGTCACAGAGAATTTACAAACCGCATCTCCAATACATATCCAAAATTCAAGAAGCTTGGTCCTCATTTAAAGACAGAAGGTCTACATTTACAAATCATTCACTTACAACTCCTGCATGTGACTAGACATTTACAACTGTAATTGCACAGACACCATCTATAGTAATAGTATAGTATAGTAATAATAACCCTAAGGATGAAGGTCAAACAAACCACAACGCTGAACCCAGTTTTGCAACTTTGGTATGTGTAAGTAAAACGGTACATAGCTTTTCCAATGACTGTGTATTCGGGTGAATTATACCTTGTTTTGATCAGACATATTGGGCCTTCGTTTGGTGGTTAATGGCAATGGATATCTACTGATTTTTTTATTTTATTTTTTATTACAAAATGAAAACTGACCCAAAACAGCAAAAAATAAACCAAACAACTTACTGTACTCTGTACTCTAATCTGTTTTATTTACATGTCTTTTTTAAATCCTACCTAAAAACACTATACAGTATATCGATCTATATATTAATTTAGTGTGACCAAGTATTTAATTTTTTTTTTTATTGTATTCTATTTTTACTTCAGACTTCTCCTATAGCTAGAAGAAACATTTACAATATAGAATCTTCTCCCCACAGAGGAGAAACAGTACAGGAGAGGCCTCTATTGACAATGATAATGGCTCTCAGCACAAACACGGGTTCACAAACATGCGGCCCTGTAGAGGAAAGCCCACTTCCATGTCACCACATTTATGCGTAGGGGAAGGGGTTATTACTTCTAGAGCAATTCATTCCTGCTTACAGCAGTTTCAGAGATGATTAGCCCTCATAGTGGAGGGTTTCAATGAAGAGGGGTCTTGGAGCAATGAGATGAGGACACGACGGGGAACTTTTGTCCTGGGAGACAAAATCACACCAAGTGTGCCGTAGCAATTGGTGATCAAGGTGAAGGAAGGTGTTGTCTTAGAAATTGGTTTATTGTGAAAAATAGGTTTTCACATCCATATGTTAATAGAGGGATTGGAAGAGATAGATTATGGACTATTTATCAGCTGAAAAAGAGGACTGCTACTTTTTCAAAATGGTATACAAAATTGTCTAAATATTAAACCAGCACTAATAATCCTCATGATCCATCTTTCTTTAAGCAGTTGTGGACACTGGATGCCCTACACACGCCTTCATTTAGGTATACAGGGTGTGTGCATGCTCTGTCCCTCTGCCCCGCTGCTGCTGTCCCCTCAAACTTGGCGGCAAAGTGACACTTGGGGAGTTGCTGTGTAAATACAGAAACTGTAATACTCAGCTTTGATCTGAATCTGATGTCAGTTAAACCAACACAAACAGTTAAAAAAAAAAAAAAAAAAAGTTTCAAAAATGTGTTCCTATTTACCCTAATCCTTAACTTTCTTCCCTCAACAATTATTTTCCTGATAAATCTGTTTATTTTTCTGTTTTTTCAGCGATTCACGTTTAAAATTTTGGTTGCCATTTTTGTTTTAGTAAGTCATTTTGTTTGTGTTGCATTAAACAAAAAAAATATCTATTTTATTGCATTTGTAAAACACTCTGCAATGCTTTGTAACAGAATTATCATTTTAAACATGTCAAGTTATAGAAGAAATGATATACTTTTGATCTACAGTAACAATTTCTTTTTAAACTAACAATGATCAAAGTAGAGTAAAAAAGTATTATTTTAGTTTTTTGTCTACAAATTGCACTAAAAAATAAAATAGATTTTACAAGACAATATCACCAAAAGAAAGCCTTGCTTGTCCTTGGTATATTTATTACTTTGTTATCTTATGTAATGACAAAGGTTTTGCTGAGTCAATATGCCCATTGCAGCAAAGTAAAAATTGCTCTGGTCCGTAAGGGGTGCTCAGGTGTGAGAGCTGCTGAAGTGGCTAAAGTGTAAAACCCAAACTTTTGTTTTCGTTTACAATGGAGTCAGAAAAGGTTAGAATCTTTGACAAGATTTTTTTTGCTCTGTCCCTGCTTGGGATATTCACGCTTTTGATTTTGCTGGTCATTGTCACCGAGACAGAAAGGGACAGGAAATCCAAAAATTCTGAATTCTCAAAGAAACAGGAAGTGAGGGAAAATCTTCCAATGAGGAATCCTCATCTGGTAACAACTCACTAAGAGGGGATTTCCCATTACTTTGAAGAGATCTCCTCTTACTTCCTGGTGAACCTCTGGGACAGGAAGGGAAATTGAAAAATAATTGGCAGGGGACTTAAGCATTCCCTATTCCATCTAAAACTTAAAAAGGGGGTCTTGGCTTCACGTACACTTTAAAAGGGACTCTTATCAGGTCAACTAACAAGTTAAAGCACTATGTTTCAACAGCAGAGGTAGTATAATCAACTCTCTGACCGCCTGTGTCTTCTACCTTCCATCCGCGTGCTGTGGTTCCATCTGCCACCCCCTATGTTACCGCTCTGTCCTGTAGTGAAGTTGGGGGTCAGCCAAAGTGGGAGATATGGGACACAGGCATTAATCACTTCCTTGTCAAATGCCTAAGTGACTGTCAGAGGTTGTGGCACTGGAGCTGAAGGAAGTCGTCAGGGCGACAGGGAACTGGTGTTCTGATTTGTTTAGACACACGCGAGCACAGCAAATATCAAATTTTTCTTTCTTTTTTCCTCCAGCACTGAATGTCTTTGTTCTTCTCGAATTTCTGTCACACATCTAAGCACCACAAAATGTTAGAAGCTGTGACTGAGGATGTGTGAACAGGAGAAGATATATGCCAAATAAGGTCAGCAGCTGTGAGCAAGATTTAAATAGGGGGGGGGGAGTGTCACCACTAAGGGCCACCAGTCCGTCATCAATTAATTGTACTGTGTCTCGCTCCGATGGAGGTCTTAATGGGGAAGATCTCAACTCAACCACCACATCATACATTATGGGGTCTATTCACTAAGCTACCGTAAGCAGCCGAGTGAACGACTGACCATGAAGCGAAGTGAGCCGAATGCTGTTCGGCTATTCACTTCAGGCTGGTACGGCTGATTCCAGCCGTATATAGGCTGAAATCAGCCGTACATCGGGTGGCCTCGGGTCAGCCGAACATGCTCAGCATGTTCGGCCGACCCGAAGTGCAGAAGGAGTTCGACTCAGCCGATCCAACATTTGGATCGGCTAAGCTGAACCTCCGGCAGGCTACTCGCTGCTGTTAGTTCTATTCTTACAGATGCCAAACAGCAGTGAGTAAATAGCCGAATGCCGCTGAGCGGCATTCGGCTGTTCTGCTCTGTCCCTCTGTGGGACCGAGGAGAACAGAAAAATAGTTAAAAAAGTAGAAAAAGAAAAAAAATAGAAATTTTTCGCCATAGGAATGCATAGCTAGATTTTTTATTCTGACGGCAGCCAACGGCTCCATGTCGATCAAGCAGAGTAAAACTTTCCTTTAGAAAGTGTTTCTCTCCTGGTTTCTCGGCCCACTTCGGGAGCTATACGGGCTATAGTGAATAGCCCGTACAGCAACCCTTCGGTTCTACTGAATCGAAGGGGTCCTGGAGCCGAAGGATCAGCCGAACCTACGGCTAGATCCTTCGGCAGCTTCGTGAATAGACCCCTATGTGTACGGAGTCTCACTCCGATCGAGGTCTGAATAGGGGAGTATCACCACTCAGGGCCACAAGCCCATAATACATTATTTGTACCGAGTCCCATGTTAATGAAAGTCGTAATGGGGTAGTATCTCCACTCAAGGCAACCAGCACATCATACATTATCTGTACCAAGTTCCACCCTAATCAAGGTCTGAATGGAGGAGTATAACCACTCAGGGTCACCAACCCATCATACATTATTTGTACTGAGTCCCATGCTGATTGAGGTCTAAATTGGGAGTATCTCAACTTAAGGCAACCACCATGTCATACATTACGTGTACCGAGTCTCGCTCTGGTCAAGGTCTGAATGGGGGAGCATCAAAACTCAGGTCCACCAACCCATCATGCATTATTTGTACTGAATCTCACTCTGATCAAGGTCTGAATGGGGGAGTATCACCTTTCAGGGCCACCAACCCATCAATCATTATTGTAGGAGTCCCATGCTGATTGAGGTCTGAATGGGGGAGTATCACCACTCAAGACAACCATTACATCATACATTATGTGTAATGAGTCTCACTCTGGTCAAGGTCTGAATGGGGAAGTATCAAACCTTAGGGCCACCAACCCATCATTCATTATTTGTACTGAGTCTCATACTGATTGAGGTCTGAATAGGGGAGTATCACCACTCAGGGCCACCAACCCATCATACATTATTTGTACTGAGCCTCTACTTAGGGCCGCCAGCCCAAGTACTATTTGTGCCTGGTCCCTGGTCGCGGGAAAATCTCTATTGTAGCCAACTGATTGTACATTATTTGTACGGTGCCCGCTCCAACTGAGGTGTGAATGGGGGATAATTGTAGTTAGTGGGTAGTCACAATGAATACCCAATCAAGTGCATTTGAAATAAACAAGGAGTTTGCTGTTCCCACGATTGGATAATTGAAGTGAATTTTAATTGGTTGAGTGAAGATTCTCAACTCCTTTAGTAAATCAGTAGATCTATGAGGCTTATGGGAGGAAGGGCAGATCCAGGCAGTGTAGTTGGTGCAGGACTTCTTGGTTCCCTGCTGAGTCCCCCCCCCCAGCACAAGCTGAATTGCTGCCCTGCCACCTAGGAATGACAGACACACAGAACAGAGGGCACCCTGCTCACACACCCCCTGAACACAGAGCTGTCTCACCTCCTGGATGTCATTGTATGTCTCTCCCTGTCTCTTCCCCCAATGACGATCAGCAGTCTCCGCTCAGCACTGCTCCCTAACCGGCTCTCGCTGCGCTCGCCAGTACGATCCGGGTGTAATCCAGATGAAGGCCTCCAGCAGTATCAGCAGCAGCACCACCCGAGCGGCCACGTATGACGTCATCAGACAGCGCCACGATGGTCACAGCTTCCCTATCCTCTCATCCTTAATAGAGTTATGGAACAGGAGTAGAAGAGGCTGGCACTTCCCCGGAACGTAGTCACGATTATTCCCTTTAGAACTACAACGATACGAACGGACAGAATGTGTATCCCAGCAGCCAGCCTCAAAAAATCACACGCCAATTTCTCTGACACTTCCGGCCTGACCTACAGGCCTACTCTGCTCCGGGAGGATTTTTTCACTTATTGCAGAATTCCGGACTCCGTCGCTTTGGTATGACGTCAAAGACGGGTGGCCGACTGGCTGGCCTAAGGCCGAAAGCTTAGGACTGCATATCCCAGAAGCCCGTGCGGCGGAAGTGACGTATCGCAGCAGGTTCTTATACTTGCTTTGGCCGGATGTTAAGCCTTTTTCCTTTCAGCCAAGGTAGGAATGGCGGATGTTGCTTGCTAGGCGGCTGGCCTGTGTATTAGAATCCGTAGTAATCCTGTGTTTATCGGGCTCCAGCATGTCTCCGACCAGCCGAGTGTTATACCTGGGGGGCTGTGCTGTCCTTTGGAGCTGATATGGTGGAGTTTTCTCCCCGTGCCGGCTGACATGTAAACTATAGGCCGCTCACCCATTGCACATTACGGGATGAGGCATTTCCGTGCTGCACGCTAGTGCCCTGTGTGTCTGCTATAGGGACATGGGATGGCACCATGCGGACAGGCTGTTATAGAAAAGTGGCCCTGTCGTATTGGGCCACAAGTGTTGGTGTCGGAAACCAAAAGTGTTTCAGGGGCCCCAGGGTGTTACATGGCGTTCTGAGGTACGGGTGAGTCCTTATTCAGATGCCACTCTTATTAGGCTAGTGTGTTGTCTGATTTGACTTTTTCCCTGGCACTCCATGTGTATCACCTGCACATCATTTAGGGTTAGACAGGACAGGTCTAATAATAAAAGTTACTTTTGCACCTCACTGTATTACTGACTTAGTTCCCACTTAACTTTGTAATGCAGACTCAGTCATAGCACATGTACCATGTGCAGGTACTTTATGAACGATCCATTTTGCTGCATTCCTCAATGCCTTACACTGCAGCTGCTGTATACAGTTGCAGAGTAGGGTTCTTACAGTGTAAATGTATGCTAAGGTCAGTTACTGCTCACATTAGGCCCATGTTACATTGGTCTGGTTGTTTGTTAGGAGGACGCAGGGAAGGGGACTTTATCAAAACTGGAGTAGCTGTACATGACAACCAATCAGCTTCTCTCATTTTCAAATCTTAACTGGAGAAAAGCCGATTGGTTGATGTGCATAGCTGCTCCAGTTTTTTTGATAAATTCCCATCAGGACATCTTATCTGTTTCCTGGCTGGATGAGTGTTCTGTTTGGCTGTCCAATTCCTGACCAATGGCAGAATCAGTCTGTCATGGTGTTCAATCCTAAACCATCTGTTTCTATAGACTTCACATGCACAAGTTAATCACAGTTGTATTGGAAATTATTTTTTTATTTCGCTAAAGGATCAGGTTTAGCATGTATCCTTGGCACACTGTATTTGTGGAGGTATGAGAGCTGATGTGATGTGTATATAACGCAAGGATGCCTTTTTGTTTACAGATGGCAGGAGAGCAGGCTGAGAAGAAGGTCAGGAGACATCATGCCAGCCGCAATCCAGTGCTGGCACGTGGAATTGGGAAATATTCTCGATCTGCCATGTTTGCAAGGAAAGCCTTGTACAAGCGCAAGTATAAGGCTCCAGAGACAAAGGTAAATGCCTTCATTGCTTATTGAAACAAAGTCTTGTATGCTTTGTCATAAGTCTTGTATGCTTACTTTGTTGTTTTCCACAGATTGAAAAAAAGAAAGAGAAGGCCCCAGCCACAGTAAATAAGACAGTTGGTGGTGATAAGAATGGAGGCAACCGTGTGGTTAAGCTGCGCAAGATGGTGAGTCCTTTTACTTTTCTTACAAAATGAAGCCGACGTTTGTTTATTTCAGCCACAGGCTGCTTCATATTTGTAAGCTTTCCAAGTAGTGACTAACCCATACCTGTGGAGATGGTTTTTAATGGAAAGAGACAAATCCCTATGTATGCTTGTTGGGGTATGCACACTGTGGCCTGTGTCTTACAAACCCATTCATAAAGTGGGGGCCACAGTGTGGCGCCTCTAGTGCCCCACAATGCTCTCCCTGCAGCAAAGAATACTCTGTTAGCCCTTGTTTTCTCTAATAACATATTACTTCATACGACATTTACTGTTTTTTTTAAGTGGAGCCCTAGGTATTTTAGTTTTACATTTTTTGTGATTTGTCCGTACCTTTTGACATGATTGTGTTTTTCCCATCTAGCCACGATATTATCCCACTGAAGATGTTCCACGTAAACTTTTGAGCCATGGAAAGAAACCATTCAGCCAGCACAAGCGCCATCTGCGTTCCAGCATCACTCCTGGGACTGTGCTGATTCTTCTTGACGGACGTCACAGGGGCAAGGTAAGGTTGCGGGGGGTTTTAATTTTTCTTTTGTCTGATTTTAAGATTCCGTTTTTTCGGAAACGAGTGCCCATATTTATATTTTGGTATTCGCCAATGCAGAGTACCAATAAGGTACTTCGACTAGCATGGAGCCGGCTTCCCGGGCAATCATGGAGCCAGGTAGCGTGTCATTACCCACAGCCCAAGATACAATCCGTATATACCCATCGCACTCAGAACCACTGCTCCATCAGAGAATTGGGTGGCTCCCTTCAAAGTATACAAGCAAACAGGATGGACATCGGCACTCCAAAGCAAATTGAGTACGTATCTTTATTCACGTACTTGTTGCATAGTCAAACACTAGATACGTTTCGGGGTCTCACAGGACCCCCTTCATCAGGCAAACAAGTGTAAGACCCTGAAACGTATCTAGTGTTTGACTATGCAACAAGTACGTGAATAAATATACGCACTTAATTTGCTTTGGAGTGCCGGTGTCTATCCTGTTTGCTTGTATTACCCACCACTCGGCTTCTTGATTGCCCGGTAAGCTGACTCCATGCAGTTTGGCCGGCTAATTGTGGCTGGCCTCTACAAGTGGTGATAAATACGGACATGTCTATGTACACCAGCAGAAGACAGACACCCTTGGATCACCAGTCAGGGAGCAAACAGCAGCAGCTGTGATGCATATTGTTGGCTAAATTCAAATGTTCCTTTCTACTAGGGATGCACCGATATCAGTATCGTTGCTAATATCGAGTATTTGGACGAGTACTCTTACTCACCCTTGGCCAGCTGGGCAGACACAGCTCTCCAAGCTGCTTTACTTCTCCCAGGTCTGCCCAAGTCTCAGTCTCGCGAGTTGTACTAATGCCGCCTGACTCCGGTGTGTTTACAGCGCTCAGCCTGCACAGTGCTCTGTCAGAAATCCTCTAACAGGATTATTATTATTATACCGCCAATCACGCAAGTGCGGGTGAGGAAAGAAAGCGGCTTGGAGAGCAGTGCCTGGCCGAGGGATGTCTGTGGTGCGGTGATGACTGCTCCTGAGGATGGGTATGAGGTGTCAGTAGGATAGAGGTTGTCACCATAGGATAAGATCTGTTTGTCCGGCTCGATGCTGATTGGCTGGAAGCCGGCTTCTCACCCAATCGGCATGGAGCCGGCTCCATGTTCCCTCGCGGCACTGCCGACCAAAGGAAATCTCCCTCTAACTAGAAGTTCCGGTATCTGAGCATTTGGTATATGGTCTGATAATGGTATCGGTGCATCCCTAGTAGAAAGGAACATTTGCATTTAGGAAATATTATGCATCACAGCTGCTGCTGTTTGCTCCCTGACTGGTGATCCAAGGGTGTCTGTCTTCTGCTGGTGTACATAGACATGTCCGTATTTATCAACGTTTGTTGAGGTCAGCCACAATCTATGTACTAGTCACTTAAGACATGCATTTTAGTGGCTTAGAAAAAGCAGATCAATGCACCGTTGCAGTCTCAGCTTGTTGAGTTAGTGAGATTGCATTAGGCAAAACATTTTCAAAATAATACTCTCGTTGGGTTGTAAATTCTGACATTGGATCTTTTATGACAAAACAGTGCGAGCACTTCTTTTTTGTTGAGAAGACCTGATGGGATCTGCCCACTGAAATGCATGACACATTAATCTGTGAGCGGTGTCATGCTATCTTAATCTGTTCCTACTTTATTTGTTGGTCAAATGTTCTGTACAGTCACTCCTGCCCTGTGCAGTGCATTTGTAGTGAATGGCACCTTAAATGCATTGTACAGTAGAGCACAATGCATATGCGCATTGTGTGTTGTATTGCTAAACAGTCAGTTGTTATGCTCCCTGTATCCACATTGGGACGATTTTCACTCGAGTCTGTCACGCATAGCATTATCAATAGAAATGTCTGTAATTCAGTCATTGATATTTGCCTTTGTGGGATCATTTTACAAGGGGGGTGGTGTGTAAAGAGTACTATTGCAAATATTTTGCAGCAACCAGTCCCTGTACAGTCCTACTCCAATATGTCACATCTTTGGTTATTCTTGTAATCTACCCAGTAGTGATTATTTTAAGGAGAATTAGTGGCACTGAATAACTTCTCTTCAGTTGCATTCCCATATTATAGGTGATAAATGTAGCAGGGAGAGTGGGGTCACATGGCAGTGGCAAATGTGCAAACCTGGAAATCAAAAATCTTGGAACAAGAGAGGAAAGGAACATTTTGTTGCTTTCACTCTTCAGCATAGACAAACTTAGGAGACATGACCTCTTTAAATGTTTGTGTTTAATTCTTGTTCAGCAATATTTTAGCAGTGTAGCATTATTTCACTTTTTGTATTGGGGACCATTTCTTTAAGTAATAACTTTCCTGTGTTTTTGCTAAAGCATTTTTTGTTTTTTCTTTCCTAGCGTGTTGTCTTCCTGAAACAGCTTCAGACTGGTCTCCTGTTAGTCACAGGTAATCTATTACATTAATTTGTCAGCTTTTTAAGAATCGCCTATGCAGTGGGGGGGAATTTATCAAAACTGGAGCAGCTGTGCATGGCAACCAATCAGCTTCTCTCTCATTTTCAAATCTTAACTGAGAGAAGCTGATTGGTTGCCATCCATAGCTGCTCCGGTTTTGATAAATGCTCCT